CTGCATAGGGACCATGGTGAGTGAGGGATCTTTCTCGAGCAAGATGTGGTACATTGGGCAATCCTGTTCCCAGTGCCTAGGGCCTAGGGTAGGCAAAACGATGGGATCGTCGCAAGGCGCCCAACAAAGTGTCCCGCGATTTTGAGTGCGGCATGAGGCCGAGGCGTCGTGTAAAGCTCAATGTGTAATGTATGACAGATACTCAAGACCCTTGTTCTGGTCACACACACACACACACACCCCGTAAGCTCAAAGCTCTTGACCCGAGACTCCCAAAAACTACTCAACACCTCAGTTGCAAATCACATTTGGGTAGTTCTCAAAATAGGGGGACCCCAAAATAGACCCTAGTATACTATAATCCTTATTATAGGGACGTTAAGAAGGTATCCTTAATTGTGGGAACCCCCATTTGGGTGCATCTCCTCTTATTTGCGAGTCCAGGCTGCGTGCACTTCGTGATGTCCTTAGCCGTTGCTCTGCAATTACGCTTCACGGTTCTGGGGGCTATGGTCCCCCTTGAGCAGATAGAATATGGGGTATATGGGGATCTTATTATCATATCCCCAAGGCCATATTCTATCTACTTAAGAGGGACTATATTCCCGGGGGCAACCCTGTCTATAACAATACCGATAATGGAAAATCAAATGGAAAAGATAATGGCACATGAAATGGAAACTGGCGTTATAAGGGGCTCTACAGGGATCCAAGTTACAAAAAGTACCTACATTGGGCTCTAAAGTCTGTAAATACTACCTACATCAGGCCATTTGGATCCCTCGTGAAAGACTCAAGTCAGCCTGATGCATTTTTTGGGGCTCAAGAGGTGGGATGAAGGTAGGTGGGCTAAAGGATCCCTATTGCAAATTCCATTGTGTTGCGGCTGTTTTCTTATACCCTAGCTTCCAATACCTCACCTTTCAGCAAACGGATACATTAAGAGAACAGTGTGTAGCGTTGAAGCCTGATTGCAGAAGTCTGCCTGCAAGGAGGGACATCTATATGAGGAATATGCAGGGACAATCCAGGCAGAATAACAAACTGTAGGATTTCAAGAGTTAGATTGCAAGTTTTGCTTGCCACGTGATACAAACAAAACATTTGACGAGCTATGGGTTGACAGTCCTCAACCCAACCCACACCGAGAATGTCAGCCATAACCCATCTGCGCTAAGAATGGAAATTATGGTTTTGCAATGTTGGATGCATCAAATACACATCTTGCAATTCGTTCCGATCTTCCACAAGGGCTTGCATGCTCCTCACCTGGGAAGTTTACGAAACCTGCCACAGTATCCTCCATGTATTTCAGAGACCCACCAACGGGATCTACCAAGAAGATGCTATTTAAAACCCCGAGCTCAAAACCACAAATCCAAAACCCGAAGCCCTGAGCCCAAGACCCGAAACACAAACTCGACGCAAACCACAACCCGGAAACACCAATCCCCCTACCTAATCTAAAATCACAACTGAGGGCCGTGCTGCGGTGGAGATCATGCAAGCCATGCCTATGCTGAGCGAATGCTGAGCGAAAGCAAAGTTAAATGGCATAGGTAGATGGCGGATGCTGGCCGTAGGCTTAGTACAAAACGCTATAGTGACGATAGTAAGTTTCAGAGACTTTTTGAACTTCAGGACTTTAGGCTATTACCTCTTTAGGACTTGGTCTTTTTCCCTATCTAAAGATGGGGCATCCAAGAATTAGGGCGTCCCTTGCATGGCGTATGACGGGTGTATCTGGAGATAAGTTGCTCTAGCCAAAGAATGATACAGGTCGCTTCTCGGTACCCTAAACCCTAAACCCTAAACCCTAAGATATTTAGCACCCTTGGAACCGAGGCCACGGTGCAAGGTCTGGATACAGCGGGAATTAACAATGTTGTGTGAATCACAAAGCAGGGCAAGGCAGTTTAGGCGGCTACAGAAGTTTGACGGATACAGGGAGGATTAGTGTCTGGGGTTCACGGCAGGATTGGGCAATAGGCCCGTGGGGTAGGTTTGGGGATCTGTGCCTGGGGATTGGATTGCTAGTTGGGGATTTTGAGCTTCAACCTGCCCTTAAGCTTTCTGGCTTGAAAGGCGGTTTTGGCTTTAGGGGCTTAGGGTTTCTGAGGATTTGGATTGATTGACCTTGGCTCTCATCATCTGGGCTTGTTGACTTGAAGGTCTCCCATTTAGGCCCTCCCACCCCTATAATAATGCTCACCATGATGTCCGTGAAGCCAAGCTGCCGGAACTGCCGTCGCTTACATAGCCACCATTGCAGTTATCCTAGGCCAGCTTGTTGACCAGATTTTGAGCTTTGGATTTCAGACTTGCGTGGAGCTTAGGGTTGCAGAGTTCGGGGTAGTTATGCTTGCAGAGCTGGGAATGCAAGGTTGTCGGGTTATGGGCGTGGGGGGGAGGGGCGGAGAAGTTCAGGCGTGGGACCCGTTGGGTTTGACCAAAAAACATCACTCCATGGCTCGATGCATGCTCAATGCTTCAAGCAATCAATGCCTTGAACCCTGAAAGCCTTAACCGAAAAGCCCAAAGGCAACTGTCAAAACCTGCAACAACCCAACATCTCCGGATGCTACTTCGTCCACACTGAACTAGTCCTGCCAAGAATCCACCGGAAGCGCAGCGCATGAAGAACCGTGGAGCTCGACGCCCGTGCATGGCAAGTAGCCTTCGCTGCAGGGCTCTAGGCTGGGAAGTTTTATGAGCTTAGGGTTTAGGGTTTAGCATCCCCCTTAATAATGGAGAATCAAATGGAAAAGAAAATGGAAAGTGAAATGGAGACTGGGATTATATGAGGGATTATAGGGGTTATAGTCTAAACTCCTAGTATGCCCCTTAATAACCCCTATGGTAGTCCCCTATATAATCCCCTATATAACCCCCTTTAAGGAGTTTAGGCTATAGCTCTTATGGTCTTGCGTTCATAGGCTTCAGTCTGAGGCTTAGTCAGGGGTTCGTAGGATTCTGGTGGCATGCGTACACACACCCGTATGAGCTATAGTATAAACTCCTAATATCCCCCTTAGTAACCCCGATAATCATCCCCTATAGGCTAGAGCTCTTATAGAGGGTGCAAAAACTCAGGATCGGATTATTCTAAGATTAGAACCCCCCACCCCCTCTAATATTATAGTACCCCCCCCACATTGAGGTACATTATAATATATCCGGAGTATTTGATATTCGGGGGGGCGGGGGGGTGGGTGGAGGGGGCTGACTTTTCGGGGGAGAGGATTAGGGAGCGATACGGGCGCCAGCTTCAGAAACCTAGGCCGGTTAGCTCAGAGATGTCTCAAGGTTTTAACTTTAGGGGTCACGCCTTGAGGTGTTAAGTGTAGGGTTTAGGGCTCAGGGTTCCAGATTTTGCGATTCTGCAGGAAAATAGACAAGAAGTATTCAAAGGGACCCTTTTGGAAGCCAGCCGTTCCAAAGAGAGTTGAAAGTTGGAAGCTGTTCTGCTCATCCCTCTCATTTATTGCGACCACCGGCCACCAATGGCCACCACTATCATCGCTCAGCACGTCTAGCCGGCATCACTACTGAGATTGCTTGGGAACAACCCCATGTGCTAAGAAGTTCTGGCCTTGAACACAACTCGCAAGGGAAACGCAGAAGGTTTCGAGATTGCGGGGAATTGAGAACCTAAGTGACTGTAAGAATCAACAGAAATGTGGGCGCGTGGCGTAGGGAATGATGGAACGAAGTCTTGTTGCGGTTAATTGAGGTTGAGGAAGGGGTGGTAGTGGGGCAATAATTAAGGGGAACCCATGAACACTGTGACTCCTTAATCCTGTGATCAACCACCCTTTGCAAGACCCTAAACGCCCTGTCCCCAACCCCACGCCATACCTGACCCAAAAGTAAATGAAATCCCTAAGCCCTAAACCCGAAGACCCATGAAGAGAGACCAACCAGCTGTCATTATACACGCCTTTGGGATTCAATTCAGGTAAGCCCATTTGACAACCCATACCTGCATGCTTCTTATCATTTTGGGCTTGATGATATCCAATTTCTTTCTAAGCTTCTCATCGCGACACCCGCCCGAAGAAAAACAAAAAAAAGGTCTAGGTGAAGCCCTGTCTCCAAATCAGGTACGCATATTACGAAACACGGGGGTTGTCTATAACAGTACGCATGAGAGACTACAGGATATCACCTAGTTTGAACTTGGGCCTGGCTCAAGTCCCTCAACCCCAAATCCTGAGCCCTAAACCCCCTAAGCGTCAACCTAAAGCCTCTAGATGCCACTTGGTTGCAGGTTGCCCCACCCGAAGCACACTTTCCTTGGCGGACTGCCTCAGGCTGCACTTGGGACCATCTGTACCCAAGGGCTCCAAAGGTAATCTCCTACGTGGACTGAGAGCTGCGTGGTTGAAGAGAATCTAATAGGTTTCCGGATTTCGTTTTAGGGTTCGCTGTGGAGCACTCCTGGTCTTGCTCAAGGGAATAGAATAGAGCGGGCTTTACAGCTTAGGGTTGGGGTTTGGGGGAGGGATTTGAGCCAACGCAATTCAACCAGACAGTGGGGATTTGAATTAATGGTCTCGGGATTTTCCTGCGAGTTCGATGGCGAAAATGAAGGTAGGCTGAGGACCTAAATCTTCAGGGCGCATGTGCGAAGACTTGGGGCTTGTGCGAATCTGCTTTGGCTGGCCCTCAGCTTAAGATGTAAGTCCAGGGTTGGTGGTTTGAGGTTGATCGGCCGGAACATGTCCGCCTTGTGTGTATGACCGCGTTCTGGGATAAGCTGCCGCAAGCCAGGAATTTGCAGCATGCCCTTGGACTGACCTAGGTTCTAGGTAAGAAGTGACCAAATATCTTGGCAGCTGCCTCATGATACTAGGAACCCTGCCTTCACAGCATGCCGACACGACGTCGGGACGCTTTCATGCCTGCTCACATGAGCAAAGTATGCGTCAAGACAATAGTTATGAGTTACGTTCTTCAAATGCACTCTAGGGATTCGTGATGTTTTTTTTGCGGGGGCCCTAAGCTTGGTCCCCATCCAAGTCCAGGCACTCCAGCATGGCCAAACCTCCACCCATGAAGAATCATAAGCGAATCCTAGAAGTCCGCCAACTCACTCGCGGTCGTTGCGTGATGCATGGGAATCTTCACAGCAGCTCGTTGGATCCACAACCCACTCTAAGTTCCTCAGCAGTACACACCTGTCCGCAGTACTGTTATCATTACTATTCCCATGAAGCCGGCCACCAATCAGTTCACACACGAAACGCCTCAACCCAGAGCCCAAAGATCCTGTCTGGTCATACCAAGACCTTCAGGGTCGTTGGGGTCGAAGGTAGTACCTAGGCCCCGAGGACATGGATAAAGAAACCTATACCGGCCAAAATCATGAACGATCTCTGATGTTAATCTATATACAGGAGAAGCCTGAACCCTGTTTCGAGGCCATAGGTTCGTGTCATTTGGGGTTTCCCACAATTAGGGGTACGTTTTCGAGGGTCCCTATCATGAGGATTATCGCATATTATATTTGGGATACAAGCCACGCACTGGACCATCCGGTCGTCTTTGCACTTGTGGAAGACGTTGACCTGCACAACACTGTTTGATGTTGGGACCATTTGGCCTGCTATGTACGAACCCCCAACAAGACCCTATGATTTCTGCCTGGGCAGGATGGGGTCTTCAAACCAAGGGCAACCTACCTAAGTACTCAAATCCCTGAGCCACTGAGCCTAGCGAACTGTGTTCTACGCATGGCAGCTGAGTAATTACCCCGTAGCTATCACCGGTTTTTAAGGAATGCCTGACTCCAAAAACTCCGAAACCTAAGCTCACACGCGCTTAACCCTGACGTGGTGCCTGTCTCCATTGAAAACCCATGCCCCGGAACGAGTAGACGTGGACCTAACCCTCGATCATGGAAACTCTCCAATTTCTGGCGTCCAAGTCACACAGGTGCCGGCATCCTTTGTCTTACAGGCGTCGGTCTTGTCCTCACACACTTTTGGTGAAAGCTACGCAGGCGCTTTTTAGAAACAATAACTGCCTGTAGTAGCGGCTGCTACAGTATTAGGGGCCATGAGGTCGTGGCCTGTTTATAACTAGAAAGGCTTCATACCCGGGCTTTATGGATGAGTGCTACCAAACAAAGGCAGACCCTTGCTCCATGGTAACGTCAAACTCCTCTAGGCCCCTCTTCTACGGAGCCCCATGGGAAGAACTTCGTATGCTTGAGCTAATGCTGCCCCCGCCCAGCCAGTAACAGTCCACAACAGGGCTTGTACATACTATAGGGGTTTTACATAAATCCATTATAATCATTATCCAGCTGTTCCTGGAGGACAGGAAGAGTATCCCAAGTATGCTCGTTGGACTTTTTGTCTGTGTGGAGGGGATTTCTTGGCGCAGCTTAGGTATCTGAGTTTGCATTTTAAGCGACCCAGGGTGTCTGGGGCGGCTGCGTCTACCAGGATTGTGGCGTGTATTATGCGATAATGATAAGGATAATGAGGGGATAGTATTGGAAATTATTCAGGCTGTTGAACGAACCGTTTATTAATTGAACACCCCCGGAGTGATGTCAAATATTCTCTGTAGCAATGAACATATACTACGCGAGGTGTTTTACATTTTGGACGGGAATTGCTTCATCTTCCCGCAAAATCGAATTGGTGGACCCTCATCCCCAAAGTGAGAAGCATATGATTGTTGTATGACTACTGTTTGTTCTGCTTTGGGGGGGTTGAGCGCACCGAGTCATGCTCAATATAGGACTTTAGGGATGTTGAAAGGTTGGCGAGGTGTCCTAGGATCTTGCGCCCCTTCAGTACAAATCAGATTGCTACTGCGCTGCCCAACGAGTGAACATACCACGCTTGAATGGCCCGCTGGTGTGGTTCAATA